CCAGTCAAGACAGCCTCTCCTTCCAGACCCCTTTCCCATTCAAATCCCACTCCCCACCCTTCTCCCTGCCCGTCACACCCCTTCCCACAGGTGATCTGCTGGAATGCCTCAACTGCCCTCCAGGAAAGTGGGGGTAGGGGGGGTTTCAGCCTGCAGGACGGCCCCTCCCCTCCCTCTCTCCCTGCCCCCCCCACCCCAAAATACCTTGCTCTGAAGGCTCTTAATCTGCAGGTTCTGTTTGTCCATCCGGAACTGCTGCTGCTTGATCTTCTGGATCAGTTCCTCAATCCTCACGTTCTGCCGCCTGATCAGGTTCTAGGACAGACAAAGAAAGAGGCTAGTCCGGTTTCTGTGTGTGTGTGTGTGTGTGTGTGTGTGTGTGTGTGTGTGTAGGAGGGGAGCAGTGGGGTGGGGGAAAAAAAATCACCAAAACCCTATCTAGCCCTCTAAAAAAGACCTGAGACGAGCCACCAACCACATGGGGTGGGGGGAACCAAAACCCTGGAGTAGCGTCCTCCATCCCCCACAACCTCTTGGCCACCAGGCGACCGGCTCCACGGAGACTTTGCTCGTCATGCTGCGGACCGGTGCCGGTCCACGGACCCTCCCCCCGGGGGGGGGGTTGGGGACCCCTGCCCTGGAGCCATCCTCAAAGCGCAGCTCCGAGCGCAGCGGCCGTTTCACTTCGGGGATCCAGTTTGCACAAGCCGGGAGGCGAGCGGGGGAACCGAGGTGGGAGGTGGGTGGGTGGGTGGATGGGTGGGAGGGGGGGCAGACCACCACCCAGGGCAGACCACCCCCCAGCCCCCCCTCTTCTTTTCCACGAGGGGCTTCGCACCCTCGGGCTTCTCTCTCCGCTTTTGCACGCCTCCGGGTCAGCTGGCAGACCCTCCTCCCCAAGGCGCTTTTACGCACAGATTATGCCCGGCGCACAACTTTCCCGAGCAGTTTGGGCGATTTGGGAAGCCCTCGGGGGGGGGGAATCCGAGCCGGGTTTGAATCCCGGCGGGGCAGAGCCCGGACAGCCGACTGCCGGCCGAGCCCGTCCAGCCAAGGGCAAAAGAGCCCCGGGAACGAGGAGGGGGGCGCCTTTCGGCTGCCCCCTGCCCAGCCTTCGGGGGCCGCTCTCGGCTCTGAAAGGCAGGACGGGCCGGGCGTCAGGCGACGGCAGCGCCTCCCGGCAGACAAAGGCTGCCTCTGCCCGCGTGCAGAGCGCCCGGGGGCGGCGCGCTCGGCCCCTCCGTCCGGGACGCACCTGCAGCGCGCCCTGCTCTTCCTCCGCCGCCGCCGCCGTTGTTGTAACCGCCGCCGGGCCGTTCCCGCTGCTGTTCCCGGCTCCCGCCGAGCCCGTCCCGTCGAGCCGGCCCTCCAGCCCGCGCAGCCGCCCGTCCAGCTCGGCCCAGCGGCCGTCGAAGAGGCGCTGGGCTCGGGCCAGCCGCTCCCGCTGCTCGGCCGCCGAGCGCTCCAGGCCGGCCAGCGAGGCGTTGTGGGCGCCCAGCCGGCCGCTCAGCTCGCGCAGCTGCCCGCCCAGCCGCTCGACGTGCTCGCGGAGCCCGTGGCCCAGCTGGAGCAGCCCGTGGGCCAGCACGTTCACCTCCTCCCAGGAGGCCGCCTTCGGGGCGCGCTCCCGGCGCGGGGAGGCCCCGGAGGCTCCGGCCAGCAGCAGGCAGGCCAGCAGGCAGGCCAGGCGCCGCAGCGGCGCCCGGGAAGGCATCGCGGCCACCAGGCGGGCGGGCGAGCGGGCGCGGGAGGAGGGAAGGAGCAGAAGACACGCGCCGCAGCCGCCGCCTCGCCGCCTGCGCCCGCTTTGGACAGGAGGCGGCGGACGCGGCCCCTTTTATAGACGCCGCCCCCGCCGCGCGCACATGGCTGGAGCGGCCCCTCCTCCTCCTCCTCCCACACCCCCCCGCCCCTCCCCGCCCCGCGTGCGCCTTTCCTCGCGCATCAATAAATGCTCCGGGGGGGGAGGGGGGGGGAAAGAGGGCAGTGCCCGGCGAAGCGCTTGCAGCCCGCGGTCGCCCTGACTCTCCTCGCCTGGAGGCCAAGGTCGCCCGAGACTTGGGCGCTTCCCATTTCAATCAATCAGAAGAGAGTTAGAAGGGGCTTTAGAGGTCTTCTAGTCCAACCCCTTGCTCAGGGCAGGAGACCCTAGCTAGGCCATTCCAGACAAGTGGCTGTCCAGTGTCAAAGGCCTCCAGTGATGGAGCACCCACAACCTCTGGAGGCGAGGGGTTCCACTGGTTGATTGGGCTCACTGTCCAAAAAATGTCCATCAGAAGAGAGCTGGAAGGGGCCTTGGAGGTCTTCTAGTCCAACCCCTTGCTCAGGCAGAAGACCCTAGCTAGGCCATTCCAGACACAACCTCTGGAGGCGAGGAGTTCCACTGGTTGATTGGGCTCACTGTCCAACAAATGTCAATCAGAAGAGAGCTGGAAGGGGCCTTGGAGGTCTTCTAGTCCAACCCCTTGCT